GGCACAGAGCCAGCTCTGTATCCAGGGATTATTTCCCTTTCCTCTGGCGGTTCTGGAGTGTTTGTTGGCTTTTGTAAACTACTCCAGATCATCTGTTTCCCAGGAGCATTTAGACTTCCTCTGATATTTCAATATGAAGGCAGTTGTTTCCTGAGTGTAAATTGAGAAAGGCATTAGCAGCCTGTGTTGTCCAATGATGTCATCCTTCCTGTCCCCATCAACTAGTGAGACAACACTGGAGGGCTGCTGACTTAAAGGGCTGACTTTTCTCTCCTGCTGCTCCCATTGAAAGGGTAACTGGAGGATGACGGGGACTCTTCTTGCTCTATCCCCTAATGCTGAGAACAGGGGCAGGTTCCTCAGGCATAACTAGGAAAGATTAAAGGAATTAATAGCAACTTGAGATTTGGGCTGAAAGGAACAGGGTGGTATGTTGGCCTCTTTATTCCACTGATCTTCCAGTACAGTGAAGATGATTGATATTTTTTTCCCTCAGAAGAATTTAATTTGAGAAAAGCAATATAGTTTTGTGGCTGAAGCACTGAATTGAAAGTAAAGAACCTGCTTTCTGTTTCCCACTCTGTCAGTGACACATTGTGTGGTCCTGCAGGAGTTGCTGCATCCCTCTGCTCGTCTCTGAAGTGAGGTTAATAATTTTTACCTTTTTTATTAAGGAGTATTGACATCAGTAGGTGAAGACTGCTCTAAAAGAGCTAAGTATGATTACCGTTACTGCTATTGGTACATAAAAACAAAAATACTAGTGTTAGATGTAGGTACTTTACAGGCCAAGTGATGATTTTTTTATTGGGACTTTTATGGCCCATTTCTGGAACATATAATGTACTCTAAACGTGTAATTTCATGATAGACTGAAATAGCTCCTCTGGAAGCATTGAAGCCTGCTGGATAAATAATAGCCCTTCAGTAAAAGTTTTTAAGTACGCACTAGAGCAATTCCACTAAGTACACCCTCTTGGTCTGTTAAGTAGCTGACATTTTTTTTCAGGAGAATTCTTTTACTCTCATGATCTCAATATGATAACAAATTCAAAGAAACAATCAAAGGCTTTGATTCAGATAATGTTCTTTTTACTATCCTTGAGAAACTTTTTTTGGTAATATAGAGGTAGTTGAAAGGATAACTTATGAGGACTATCTGGCTGACTCAACCACTCAAAAGTATAAAGTTAGTGATAATTCTTCATCTTTTAGCTTTTCAAGCTATGTGCTTATTTATATTTAGATGCCTTTATGCTCAAGCAGAGGTAGTTAAGTCAACACAGGGTTCGAGCTGATGCAGAGGTAACAGGACATTTCGCTTTAGCCATGGCCATGAAAACTTGAATTTCCTTGCTTTTGTCAATCTGGATCACAGCTTAAAGTTATAACTATTTAATGTAATTAACATTATGTTTATGCTGCTTTAAAATTTCAAACAAGCAATAACTGTAACAAAGTTATAATTTACCTAGTTATATTTTCTTATTCATTACTTTTAAAAATTGCTATAATCCAAAATGCTAAGGGTGCATCAGCCCTGTATAGCATGTGGTTGAATTTTATGTTAATGTAAGCATGCTAACTTTGAAACAGGAAGCTCCTGTGTTACAGAAGTAAACTACAACAACACGGGCTTCACCAGGACCTGCAGAAGTACTGAATGGTGGTGTCCCTTGTCATTCCATCCATGCTTTTGTCTATCCCAAAGATTGCTAGTATAAACCAGCACACATGAAGTGTCATGTAAATGAACCCTTTAATCAACTGTGGTATAGCAGCCTGAAATGCCTGAATTTGTAAGACTGCTGGTACATATTTTCATAATAAAAATATCACATCTAGAGCCACAAGATTTTCATCACCATGCCATAAATACAGTCAAGAGCATTTGTATTTTATTTAAAGAAGCAAACTATAAATGCAGGCTAGGTGCCTATATAACAATAGGCACTTCAAAAAAAAGTAATAACTTTCCAGGTTTCAAACGTACCAAGGAAAATTTTGAAACCTGTTTCAAAAGCAAACCAGAAACCCCCGGCCAAATCAGCTGATCTTCAGGTTGGATTTTGAAAGCAGCTTGAAAGCTATGTAAGTTCAACGAGTGACTTGGAAAATCAGAGCCTTAGAATTTTATGCATGCAGGCAGCAGACCGCAGCCTGAGTACCAAGCAATTTGCACCTCTGTTTTAGGCTTCGAGCCCTTGTCCTTCTATGTTAGGTCCTGGCAGACAGCTTGGCTGTTTGAGCAGAATTACCTAGTGTTCCCACTTTTCCTACCACGATCCTCCCATACCTACTCCCCGGGCACTGGTATCCGATGGCCGGGCAAAGTTCAGTGCAGCCTCCCCCCGACAGGGTAATAAACCCTGCTGCCCAAGCACCGGTGCCAGCTTTACAGAGGTAGAGGTAGGATTGGCTGGAGAAACGGTGTGTCTCGAAGACTAACTGCAGATAGCTAATTGTCTATAAGGACTCGGACTAGAGGGCAATCCTAGTTGAAAGTTAACGGCTTCTTTCTGAAGAACAGAAATGATCACTCTATCTGATCTACTAGCTTAAGTCGAGAACAAAAATGTTGTCTTTTCCAATCACCTTTTTGAATGTTACATTTTTCTACTACTCTGAGAGTAAGAAATTCCAAGAAGCGCTTTGTAAGAAAATAATATAAATTCTCTAACTCAAAAGTTTTGCTTTTTTTTTTTTTTTTTTTTTACTTGAAAAACTTGTATGGTCAACCAGCAAAAGCCCTACATATGAGAACAGAGCAGTTTATATGCAGGACAAGTCTCGACTCTTTTGCAGCTTTATTATTAAAAAAAAATATGAAGTCCCTGATATGCTACCAGTGAAACGAATCTCATACTAATAAACTTCTTGCTTTCAATTCCTTTTGTTTGCAGTATTGGAAATTATTCTCTTCCCACTGATGAGCAACACTTTGAATGAGGCTAAAGCATTTGCTTATTTGGGCTTCAGTGTCATTTCCCGCCGGTCCTTGTGTGAGCGATGTGGTGGGTAGCGCAGCAAGGGTAGGCTTGCTACATTTGTCAGTTTGTTATTGGGAAATGTTAACCTTTGCCTTGTGTAAAAGTTGGACTGGGCCTTGGAAAACGCTTCCTTGATTAGCTGCATAGTGGGTGGTGGCCCCTCTGACAGACACTCTACTACGGGTTACCTGCTATATTTAGAGACCTACATCTAAGGCCCCGTTGTTTAGGTCACTGAATATAGAGGAAGGTATCTAGTGTTAAGTACCCGCATTACTATGCCCTGTGTGCTGTCTGTCCTGTTCCAGCATTTCCTGTGACTTGCTCAGTTCATCTCCCTCTTCGCTGTCAAAGTCTTTATTCCAGCTGGGGGTTTGATCCTGAAAAGGGAAGAACACAAGTCACATCCAGATGCACAGGGTGTTCCCTAATTCCTTATCATCTCTTCTCATGAAACTGTGAGCTTGAGAGAGGCATTTTATGTCGTATTTTGTATTACAAATCTGTTGAGATCAATGGAGTTAGATGACCGTAAAACTACTGCAACAAAGGCTCCAACCATTTATAATATCAGTTTGTTAAGTCAAGGAGTAGTTTTTCATGCTTTAGTGGGAAATGTTGATACAAAAGAAGCAATGAAAATACTATGAAAGGGACAGGTTTTTGCATGTGATACAAGCGTTTAGCAGAAACCTTGTTTACTCTGGAACTTTAATAATGGAACTATTGCTTCTACTGACTGCCAAGACTCTTGTTAGACACTTACAAATTATGTTAGAAAGTTTAAAAGTATACTGTCTTTTCAAAGGGTATGCTGTATTTTTAAATATGTATTAAATTCCAAGAGAATTCCTAGAGTACTGTGGTACTCTATAATTAGATTTGATTGCCTACGAACTTGATAAGTCTCCTGTAATAACTGTGATAACTGTGATCTTAGATTATGTAAGACGTGGATGTTTACGAAGTCAGAGCATCATACTAAGGTTAGAAAAGAATGAAAAAAACTGCCAGGAAAGGAGAGCAAAACTCTCAATTGCTCTCGTCCAGTTGACTTGAACTGTTTGGAGGAGAGAGCCGCTTACTTTCATAGCAAAACTAGACTAGACTAGATATCTGAAACTGGTTGAAGAGTTCCAGTTGCACAACAAAAAGTAGCTGCAATGTGCAGCTATCACTTTTGCTTGGAATAATGTGGTTTCTTCCATCATGGAAGAGCACACAAGGCCATGTAATGAACATGGGTCACGTGCAAAATTTTGGCAAATTACCAAATTTACAAAAAATGAGACACCGCTCAGACCAGTGCTAAAGACTGCCTTCCAGATGAGTCCACATGCTCAGCTGGCAAAACTGCACGGTACAATTTTTTCTTTAAACGTCAACCTTTTCAGGAGAAAGTTTTGATTTTTTTTGACAGTAAAATCAAAAAGTAAATTCAAACAAATGAAGGTGGATTAAAAAATAAACTGGTTTAAAGTTTTTGAAGATTTGGGTGACATTATCAACTATACAACTTTTGTGGATATGGAATGCTGATATTCAAACGGCAAGGCAAAACACACTTTGTCATGTGAGTGAAGCAAAAAAATTACTGAAAACTGTCCTTTGGTGTCCCCCAGTAAAGATTTTAATTAGAACAGCTCCTTCAATCAGTCTTAAAAAACAAGCAGAACCGCTCAGCCTCTTTCTGTTTCTTCATAAACTGCCTTTGCATATCATCTTCCAGCATCTTTCATATCTGGATTCCAAACAAAAATCTAAATAAACAGTGCATACGTCTTGTAAAGATGTACATATATATGTGCCGTTACAGAATAGCCTATAACAGGATCTCTTAGTGTCTACTTGTTGGATTCTGTAGAAAGTTTGTCGATGTCACAGTGAGTTATTCAACAAAATACAAGGAAAAATCATACCTTCTTGAAACTCAGGCATAGTAGGATAGACCACTAGTATGACTGAAAACTGTAGCTTTTGCACTAGCTTTGTGAACAAAATCAGAGGTGCTGTGTGCACATATTTTGCCAGCGCAGGAAAATGAGGGTGGATGACACTGAAGCCTGAAATAAGCGGGATTAAAAGTAGCAACTGTTGCCATTAAATATAACTTTCTTTGGCAGGGGTGTTTTTTGCTTATGTAGCACGTATGCTTTTATATGTATTAATTTATGGATGGGCAAGATACTTCATGAAGTAACAAGCTTGGGCTGTCCTAAGGAGGAATTAAAGCGTGGCTGTTGGCTTCTGAGTGAAAAAAATATATACTGCAAATTGAACTTTATTAAGGCCTGTTGTAATTAGTCACCTGGGTAAACTAGCAAACTCTTACCAAAAAAACAGTATACAGACTTCGTGGATGAAAAGTGCTTTCTACTGGGAATTCCAGTTCTTTTCCTCTGCCACGGGAATGCCACCAGAGTAGCATCTGCAACACTTCCCATGGCCTGGCCACAGCCATTCAAAAAAGTTATTCCAGGTGGAACGGGGAGCAGAGAAAGACTGTTTGGATAAGCCGGGGGAAATTAGAGGAATGCGGCTTTACCGAGACATAGGTCTTGGAAAGTATGTGAGAGCCCACTGTAAGTGCATCTCAGGGGTAAAACAGGTAGGACGAAGAACCACCATTAGAATGAAAGACAGTGCTGGCACAAAAATTGTACAAACTTCTCTTGAGCAAAACCAAACTGGAAATGAGAAAAGTGTTTGTAATCCTCGATGAGGCTCTGGGACAGTCTTACAACTGAGGCAGGGGCTTCAGTTTTTCTAACACAGAAGTGGGCAAGCCCGTGAGTTGCAGGATTTGCTTCTGATAACGGGGGACTGGACTCGCTGATTTTGCAGGGTCCTCCCATTCCCCTTTAGATGGGTATGGGCTAGTCCAGTAACTTGCTATTCTGTTATTGTATTCTTTTCTGTGGAAAGCTGTTAATACATGCAAATAGCTGCTGCCTAGTTGGAGTTACCCCTTTGGAACAAGCAAGTTTTGCCTCTGTTTCTGCATTTGTTTTTCAGGAGTTTGCCCTGCCATCTTCTGAAAACCCTTCTCTTGGTGGGAACAGAGTTATCATTAATTCTTTGCGCTCTTGTTTGTGTCAAAAAGTAGGCTGTTAGACATGGGTAAAATAATGTCTCTGTGCTTTTGTGTTGGCTTGCATTTTTTGGTGGGCAGCAAAGAACCTGGATCTCTCCATTTTTCCTTGTGATTGTAGTAGATGTGTTTATTAAGTAATGAATGCATAAGCCTGTTTCACGTCCTACTGGCCAGCAGTTACCCATGGACACTGTAGATGCAGAATATTAGTAAACTGATTGTATCTTGTCAGTTTATTTTGAGTGATAAAATATCAATGTGAGAGAAAATGACACTGAAGAGGAAACAATGATAGGAAGGGGTTTGAAAGTCAGCAACTGGTTCTAAGTGGGAATTAGATACTAAGTCTCAGCATGACTAGATAATTTTTAGCTCTCTATATATATCTTTTGAGTGGGAAGCTGGAATATAGAAACTAAATGCTGCTTTAATTTTTAAACTGCTTTAACCAGATAGACTTGCGGAAACTAAGTTGGAAGCAAAAGCAATGTTTTTTCTCTTTTGAAGTATCACTGTTTGGGGACTTTCCCCCCAGGCACTGCTCAAAATTGTTTTATTGTGACGCATTTGTTGTTTGCTGATCTCTGGTAGATACCAGAGATGCTACTTTGGCTCACCCTTACATTCTTGGATTAGAGCACTGAGACTTCTATATTCTGTCTTGTTAAATTTATGCTTATTATTTGGGTGGCTATATGAATGGTGCTATTGCTCATCCACATAGAAATGCAATTAAAAGCCCTTACCTAGGGACCAGATTCATCAAGTAACGGACTGCCTTTTCCCTGTGGTCCCAGATTCTCCAAGCTCAGAGAGAATAAAACAACGTGCTGTGCAACAATTCTGCCACAGCATTTTTACATTTAGAACATGGAAAACAAGTGCCTGTTTCAAAATTTCAGTGAGAAACCATGTACCATCTACAAGTACTTGCAAGGTCCATACATTAGTTACATCTCTGCATTGGGGTACATCTGAAGCCAACTTACCCTGCCTCCTGGATACAAATATTTTATATCTTTATCTCTGAATATGTTTAGTAAAGTTTAAATTTCAGGTTTACCGAAAGCAAAGGCTTACAAGATCATAAATAGGAAAAGTCCGAAGACTTGTACTTTTCTTTTCCTAACAATGTCATTGAAGGAATAGAAGAGTCAAAGTAGGACAACAAGAAATAAAAAATAATCTACTTATATTGTGAAATGCAATTGGATGTTCTTTAACTGGACAGTAAAGGAACTATTTTAAGTGCTTCCTTTTGCTTCAAACAGGTGGCTCAAGCATGCTATTTGGAGTTCATTTACAGTCAATTGATTCATGGCTAATAACTTAAAAATACTACGCTTCCTGAAAGTATTATAGCCAAAATGTGACAGTCAAGACTGAAGCCTGAATTAAGTTGCATTCTTTTTAAAGAATAAAAAGCACTGACATTTAACCAAACTGCATTTTCAAGATCTTGGTTGAAATTCGTATGAGTCATCCCAGGACAGAGTGGTTTTACTTGCCATATTTATTACCTCCAGTGTGCATTGAAAAAAAAACTAAAATCTTATGGCAATAATGTCAGTATTTAGGTTAGGAGGTACAGTGCTTTTGCCTTTACTGTGTCTTTTTTATCTGTTTTTTTTTTTTTTTAATTGCTCTCATCCTTCTACTCTCAATCTCACCTGCACCTCTCAATGTTAATTTTAAAAACTTTGCAAATATAGCTGATTTAACTCTTATAACATTTCTGTTAACTAAGTATATCCCCTTCTTCTACAGGAAATTGAGATGCAGAGAAACTGAGTATGATCTTGAGCAAACTACTTACAGCTTGAGGCGTTGCTGGGATAGATCCCATTGTGAAATCTTGGCTGCACTGGAGTCAGCAGTAAAAATCCTGTTAAGTCCAGCTGAACCAGCCCTAGTGTCCGAATTCTGGGTCCTGCCCCATTTAGTAATAAGCTGGAAGAAGCATTGCATCTACGAAAAATAGACTGTTTAGTCAATAGCTTTCCATGTCTTTTCTTCTCATCTTGCAGAATTGGAGAATGAGAGCTTGTTTGCACTTAAATTACCCTCTGCTCAGTGCTGCAGTTTCTGCAGTGAAAACACACTCATGTATTTTATGGGTCTGACCAATGCATCAACTTTAGCATGCTTATATAACTGTAGCTGAAAAAGAGGGAGGTAAGGGAGAAATCTTTCTTTGAACAATCTTTAGGGATACTTTGCAAAGTTGACAAGAAATTCTGAAATTCCTGACAAGATTTGAAGGTTTATGCATGTTCTTATGCAGGGAAGTGTTTTTTTCCCTTACATGAAAGGCCATCACTAGGAATACTTGGCCATATCCTGCAGTTAAGGTGAAAAAAAATTCTTTAAGTATTCTTATGGGGATTAAAATAAATACCACATCTTTCAAAATATGCATTTTTTCCTAGTATTTTATTCAAAAGCAGTATATATCTATTTTTTTTTTCTTCTTTTCTTAAAGCCACTGCCTCCTTGTCATGACTCTAAGGAATCTATGCAGGTGTACAAACAGCACTGCAAAATAGCAGAAGAGTACCATGAGGTCAAGAAAGAAATTGCTCTGCTGGAAGAACGAAAGTGAGTAACTTTCCCAAAGTATTTGTTGTTGTATATTCTCTTTGTAAGATCCCGTTTTAAACGTGAGGCTTTCACATGGTATTTTCTGACCTTATACTTCTGCCTGATGGTCACAGCAGAGCACAACAGTTAGGTCATTGGTCAATAGGGTCAACTGGGACCACTAAGGACACAGAGCTGTCATAGCTCTGGGCCCTTAGTTATAGAGATGTCCCTTAAAACCTTAATTGACAGCCTCCAAGTCACAGAACAATCTAGTTCAGCTGGCGCAAGTCACCTTTTCAGTTTTAGGGATTTTTTTTTTCCAATTTACACATTTTAATGAAGAGCATAATGGATCCTCAGTTTGGTTTAGAGTACTTGACAATATTAGTAAACAGTGAGGTTCATTGTCTTGTGTGCATTGACATTTTAGGTGTTCATATCCAAAGTGCATAAGCTGGAGACTTTTTTCCTTGTCTATGGCCTATACTGATACCCCTGTCATCTTTGCATGACTATTAAATGGCAAAGAACACTCTGTGACTCTCGGTCCCTTTCCACCAGAAACCTGAAAAAGAAATTCAGAGGGCGGAAAGAGGGCGGACAGTGAAAGTTTTTAACAGACAACCAACCCCAAGGAGTAACAGTTACTGCTAAGTAAACTTTCTCTTTCAAATGCTTTTTTATTTTTACATTCACACTGAAGGTGATTCAAGCAGTGTTGCCTTCCTCAGGGAGTGTTATCTTAGTGCTAATCTCTGAGACTTCTCGTGAAAATGAAGACCACACCATCATTCTTCCAAATTCTGCTTGAACAGAAACATTTGTAAGATAGCAACAGGGGTTGAAATAGCTCTGTTGCAGAGTGAGCTTTGAGTAGAAGGTAGACCACTGCATCTGTTTCATAGCAATCTTCGCACAGCTGACCATGTTCAGCCAAGCTTGCATCCGTGGGAGCCTTCAGCTGCAGAAGCAATCTCATGGGAGAGAAACTGGTGAAATCCAGTAGTTTTACAAGTAAGATAGCCAAAGATCTCCTTGAATCCAGACTACGCAGGGTAAGAAAGTGAGACTTGTTATCAAGGTTGATGGCTACAGGCACAATGTAGTTAGTTCTTGCCTAGAGTATTGGGACTAGTTGAGGTTTCCTACTACAGATCCCCTTCCACTGTAGGACCTGCATGGCACTCAGTTGCTGGCAGATTGGCACAAAAGTTAAAAAGAAGAAAAAATAACCAGAAGAGATTAACGCTACATTGTCCCAGTGTTTGCATTTGATTCATCATTAATTTAACTTGGCCAATCAAAAGTAAGTGTTGTTTTTAAAAAGATGTAGAGAAGATAATGAATTCAAATAATTTTGCAATGATTTGTCAAATTTGATTGTCTAATACAAGCTGCTTACATGCGTATTTAGTAATCAAGTGAACTCAGTGGAAACCATGTGTGTCTGTCTTCTCTGAAAATCCAAACTGAATATAAAATATTAAATGGTTGCCTAAGTGCTTAACTTCAGAAGTATAAACTAAAAAGGTGGCCTTAGATCATTTGGTTTCTAGAGTCTACTGATATAAATGCATTATTATTACTGACACATCCCTGAATCAGCTATGCACATTTATGAAGTAAGCTTGGAGCCATTGAAAAATAGACTCACATACATATTTTTGTCTCTACTAGAATGCAAAAAAAATGCTGTTTGAATGCATTTTCTTTTATCTATGGAATCTGTGGTACTAGCTGAATTAGAAATATTTTGCTCCTTGGGAATGGCAGGTACATGCATAAAATCGTTTACCTGAGCTCAAAACTATCCTAATCAACCCCTGAGCCCAGAAGTCATCCTCTCAGCAGTGGTTATCCTGTATGAATTAAGGGGCTTCAGGCTGGCATTTCCCTTCATTCCACCAGTGGATGTCAACAGTGGAACAATATGATGAAGCTTCCACCACTGCTACCTTTGCTAAACCTGTTCTGTGGATAGATGGTTTCATGCCCCAGTAAACTTATGTTAAAACAAGAGTGGCTGAACAAGACAGCAAATACAATTATATTATTGTGATTCTTATGTGCCTTCTAACTACATATTAGTGGCCTAGATATTCACATGCTGTGTAGCTGTGAAATGCCTAAACGTGACAAATACCAGTGCAGCACCTTTCGCCACCTTCCAAATCTCTTTATCTGAAGAAGTGGTCCTACAAGCACTGGGATTGAAGATGCTTAATTTCTGACAGGTTGGTGCACTGTGGTTACTTAATTTTGAGGTTTAAAAAGCTGCAAGTGCCAACTGAAGCTTTTTTCCTCCAGATGGGAGCTATTTATGACCCCTCCCTCCAGGTAGATTCTCCATTTTGTAGATTTTGGAGGAAGTCTCACGATACTGCCTTTCCCCTCCGGGGTGTCTTTCCTTTCTGTAGCAGTCTATTTTTGTAAAACCTTCCAGAAACTGATTGTGACCTGAAATTGGAAAGTGGATTAAAAAGTTGTGAGGACACATATACCTTTACACACATGTAAGCATACACAACCTGAACACATTAACCTTGATTTTTATATAAAACTAGAAAGAAAGGGAGTGTAAGTGTGGAGGTGAAGGAGTAATCAAGAAGTAAAAGAGAGTTTTGGCCTAGTGATCACTGATTTATATCGAAAAACATTCTCAACAGTTACAGTTTGAAAGTTAAAGGAAGTTTATGGGGTGGCATATGCTGAATGAAGAGGAAGAAGAGTGGATTACAACGGCTGGGGTGGCATGCGTAGTGAACATTCCATTCTCAGAATGGAAGGATGCTTTGAATTTTCTAAGAAGTCTGATGAGATGCACAGCTTTTAGCCTCAAAAGCTGTGTTAATCAAATTGGAAAGATGGAGTTGTTTGCAGCTTTCTGAAATTTGCCTCTATGCAGGTGTCTTTATCTTCTTCTACATTTGAATTCGAATGTATGGAGATGCAGATTCACAATTGCCTAATACACCTGCTATCTATTGTATATTTCTTTTAAATATTTTCTTGATAAAACGGACAAAGGTAGAGTTTCATCCTTTGTAATGGGAGCAAACAATCTGTGCGGCGTTCTTCAGCGTACATTTTTAGCAGAGGCAGCCAGAAGTGCTGCTGGATGGTGCCCTTGCCAGTTCTCTGAACTTCCTCTCCACAGATCAACTCACCTGTGGAATTCAAATGTCAAGTCCCACCTGGCAGTGTCTGCACCTGTAGTGCCTACTGGTAACACACTGTGCACACACAATACTGAAGACAATGATTGTCAGGAAAAGAGCAGAAAATGGATTGAGGAAATTTTTTTTATTTGTTGGCTAGGAGGAAGAAATAATGTTAATTTAACCTGACATAAATGTCCATACAGGTATTGGAGCTTTTTAGTAAAACAAGAAAATGGAATAGTATTCATTCTACTTTAAAGAATTTTTCTTCCAACCTCCAAAGTTCAATGTAATCTTTTTATATATGAAATAATACATGCAGGCATATTTCTAAAGGAGGCATCTTTAAGAAACAGGAGGTTGAATAACATTATTTTAAAAGAGTCAAAAACATTTACTCATTTGCAACTTTTCAAAGGCTTTTAATTCTGCTTAGCTTGACTCGTCTGTCACCGTAGTGTGAGGATCCAGTATGACCGAAGTATAGAAAGGCAGTGGTGTGAAATGACAAGGGTTGCTTTCATCAGGGTAGGAACAGAGCTTATTTGCCCCTTTCTCTTGTATGCGATGTAAATGGCAAGGGAATGTACTAGGCTAGAAGTGGGAGAGAAGGCAACAACTATTTCACAGAAAAATGGAAAATGGGAGAGAAAGGGAAGTTGCAGGTTTGAAAAAGGGAAGATCAAAGGACAATGAAAATAAGAAGGGGGAAAGAAGTTACCCAGGAAAAAGACAAAAGGAAGGAAGAAATTGAAAAAAAATTAAAAGAACTCTGAGTAGATTTTTTTGCTAATATAAATCATCAGAGCTTGCTTTGCTGTCTTCACTCAAACTCTTCCCATTTATGTCAGCAATATGTAGTACAGGGGAAAAAATCATCCTGGAATGGGAGACATGATCAAAAAGAAAGAAAAGGGTGTGGAAGCGAGAACACACCACATTTAGGTCACAGAATGTAATTTAATTTATGTTCCAGAAACACACATGTATTTCCATAACAGATGTTTTTGGGTATCTAAGTTTGGGTGAAAGGGATGGGATGGCTGGTTATTTTGAGCAGTTGTTATATTGCTATTACTAGATAATGACCCTGGATTATGCAGTTAAATATTAGAGTTGCCATGGTTGCTAGCTATATCTTATATTCTTAGCACTGGCTGGTTTTCTCTTTTCCCTCCCCCAGACAATTCTAATATAACTATCCAGAAAATATAATTTGACCACAACCTGGTTTAGGATCACTCCTTTTCTTTGCCATAGATATGATTTCTTTTCCTTCTTTTACACATATTACAGTAGACATGCAGTAGAGATGTCTGCTTAATATTGTGGGATCCTTCCATATGCTTTAGCATGCTCTTATGACCATAGGACTATTTCTAAGGTCTCAGGTCCAGATGGTTTCTCCAGGTACACTATTTCTGGAGTGTCTTTCCCAAGACTGTTGAGACAAGTAGTCTTCAGACTTGCAGGTACTGCAGAAAAAGATGGGTGTAAACCATAAAGGCAACATTTTATCTTAATAATTTTCCCACTCTAGACCTGATTTTTCATCATCTCACATGTATCCAAAATACATGTTACTTGCCAAATAGTGGAAATTACAGCTTTTTTAATACAAGCGAAACCTCAACTTGCCTTATTTATTGCAGTGATGAATACTTACCGACCTTTTATGAGCTGGCATCAAAGATATATTTTCATTTACATTAAAACAGGCTGTCTCATTGTTTTAAAAATTAATTAGTAGACTTTGAGCACAAAAGGGCAGTCTCCTCAGACAGCAGTTACCTTACAGGGTCTCATGATTCCTCCTGACGTGAAAGCCATGTGAAATATGGGAAGAGTAAATGACCTTATGGCCACCAGAACACACAGACACATGTTAGCTGGGAAGAAATGTGTAGTACCACAGATGCATGATCCTGAATTCGTTGTTTACAACATGGGAAAGACAAGTCTGCCTCTTTGCACTCTGGAAGCTGTTTTCCTTGAGTCCAGTCCATCTAGAAATACACTTATCTCCAGATTTATCTGCTCCATCTGTCACTTCTCTTGGTATTTATTCATTGTGAATATTACTGTAAAGGAACTCTGTTCTCTGCGTGGTCAGTCATTGGGGCCAGGACAAGAGAAATAATTTCCTTAAGACCCATGCTGGGGTTTTCTCCAGCTCTGGTACAGCTTGTGGTTTATTGGTTTATGATGCAAATCACACTCATGTTCCCTTTCCACCCCAATCCCTCCCTGAAAAACAACACTTAAAGTGTACATTACAGATTGTCTCAAAGCTTCAAGTACCTCAGCACCATTTTAGAAAATACCTTATCAATGCTGTTAATATTTATACTCAGGGTAACCATTAACAGAAAACACAGATTACACAGTGCTAGATCTATTTATTAAGCATCCATAACAAAGGCTAGATGGTGCAAGAGCTTAGTATGGTGTTCTTTAACCTCTGGAAGCTAAGTTCAAATGCTGGATTAGATCAGAAGCAAATGTTAGTTACTGTCCTCATCCTTTTGTGAGCTTCGTAAACCACACCATTCATAACATTTAGCAATTCCCTGGTACTCTAATTTTAGATCTCTGTGGCAGGCTGTCAGTATTTGCCTGAAACATCAACCCTACCCAGTAAACAGGTGTTGATCCTGATGGGAAGGGAATAAGTTGGTTCTGCTGACTCAGAAGTGGGCAATTTTACTACCTCAGTGCAACGAAACTTTCTGCGAGGGCGGTCCTAGAGTGTGGGCTACAGCAATGAATATATTTTGATCTTAATGCATTTATATTTTGTTTAATAGCAAAGCTAAACCCTAAGGAAAGAAAAAAGTTATCTGTACTGCTTGAGTATTACTGGAGAGCAGCGCGAAAGCCATGCCTGCACGTAGCCTCATCTTAGCAATCAGGACCGACATACATTAATAGAGCTGTCTGAGTTTGCACAGTGCCTGTCTATGCCAGTCCTGGCTCCAGTTCAGATAGCGGAGTTAGTACCTTTCTTTCACATGTACTAGAAGTCCCCCTGGAAAAGGTTGAGCTGCTTTTAAGATGCTGATTTCTTGTTAGTGTGTTCACTGCATCTCCCTTTAAGAGCCTCGTAAGCATAAGAGAAGTAAAGAAGAATGATTCTGAATTAATTTGTTTGGAAGACTTCTGAGTCAGCAGTCTGTAACTTGAAAAAGCTTAATTTAATCCTTCAGTCCAGCATTGCAGCAGTAGAATAATTACAAAAAAATATTGCCGAAGCTCTCTTTTGGTCCCAGGAGACGAAAGTCTTCTACAGGAAGCCCTAAGAGACTGAAGTGATTAAAGCTGCTGGACTTGTAAAATCTCATTGTTCCTAAATGCATTTCTCATTCTCTAAAGCATACATGCAATTACTCCTTTGTGGCCTATAGTGCCATTAATAGGAGCTGGAATATTGAACCGTCTAACCAGATCAGTTCATCTTGGCCAATTTGAAAATTGATGTAGCATGGCCCAAGCAATGAGAAATGAATCCGTTAATGGCTTGCTGCTTCTAAAATTTTTACAACTGTATTGTGCCAAACGTTAATAGAATTCTGCTGAACAAAAATACGCTCTTGAAGTTTTCTCTTCAAGACCTGATTGAATATACCTTTCACCTGGTGAAAGGACAGAGAAGAGGCTGTGCTGCAGCATAGCCTCTCTGCATTACCTCAGTGGTATAAACCGAAGCCAACATATTTAGCTACAGGAGGGTTTCTATATACTGTATTTTTTGGACTATTTAAAATTGCTGTAATGGGTGCTAACTGTTCCCTTTTTTTGGTGTGGGAAACACAGGTGGGAGAAATGAGTGTGCCAGTGGTCTCTTCTAACTTGTGACTCCTTGAACTGTAGTAACTGTGACCATAAACAAACCATGGGCGAACTGTGCTATCACTGAAAACTGCAGTGAAAACACAGCAACATCAAACTGATCCCAAAAGGCGGCCAGACAGAAGTGTTTTTCGAAAGCCAGGTGCTTGCAGTTTTGCTGCTCTCAGTGGTAGTTCTGCAGCTATAAGTAATGTAAGTGATCAGCAATTACTGAAATGTTATCATTTAATGAATACTCTGGCCTGTGGTGATAGAATGACTGATCTGTAGGAATTTCCTGTCTGAAAGCACTGGTCTGGCTTGACAAGGGGGCTCCTTTAAAGACTGCAGCAAAAGCTTCCACTTTGAAGGCATTACATCTTCCCACTGATGCTCTACAAGCATTGTTTTGACATGACGGAGAACTAAAGTCACAGGGCTATGAACAGTTAAAGATTAACTAATCTCTGAGATAGTATGATCAAAAGAACGAAGAACCTTTTAGAAGAGACTTCCTGTAGCCGGGGTGAATAAATGATTTGACTTAAAGGGGAAAAAAAGCAGAGGCCAGGCTAGCCTGCTGGGTAACAAAGCGGAGAGCAATTAGATACCCTGTGAGTTAGTCACGCCTTCAGTGTGTTTTGTTTTAAGACTTCTTTTATCTTAACTTGTGCTGAGGCAATTTCAGTTGATACTACACAGGAGACTCCAGGTCCTGGGAATACAGGGCACTGTGTGATTCCATCCAGAAAGAAGCAGCAGCTTGAATCCTCCTGTGTCTGCTCTGAGACAGACCAGGAGGGGTCAGGTTTGCAGCTCTATCACTCTTCCCCAGCAGTAGGGCCAAGCATGCCTAAGCTATGTCTGAGCATAATCACGTTGTAGAAACAATATATGTAGTTCAGATTCATGTGCCTAGTATTTACTAAAATATTTTTTCTTTGTAGCAGAGAAAGGCACCCAGGCGTACGTCACAGAACTTACTGACAAAGCTAACAAACCAAACGAGAAAACCCTTGCTCTCTTTCAAATATGTTTGGTGTTAAGAAAAAAATAAATTATTATTCTCCGGGCAAAATATTAGCATGCTGTCTCCAGGAACTTGTTTCTCCCTCATGAACTGCATGTTCAACTTCTACTGAAGTTAGAGGTACATGAAGGTCCTCAGCATTTTGCAGGTTTGGTCGCTGAACAGCAAACTTATCACAGATTCTGGCAACTTCATCTTCTAAAAGGAAAAGAAAGACTAACAAATTAGTTTTCTAGGCCTCTATTTCACAACAGCTCAGGTAATACCATGTTAACAACCTATAGTCCATCTTTAACCTAACGCATGACAACAAATTTTTGCATCCTGCCATTTTTAATCTTTGGGTTCTTTTCATAATCATCAGAAAGGAGCTGATTGCCAGGCTGGAACAAGTGGAAAAAGAAAGCATGGATGCTGCTCAGCTGGCTAAGGAGTACGCAGAACTGACAGAGGAGAACCGAACACTGAAGCTGGCCCAGACACAGTGTGTAGAGCAACTGGAAAAGCTCAGAATACAGTACCAAAAAAGACAAGGGTCCTCGTAACTCTCGACTAGCTTACGTGAGGCAGTTAATACAGGATTGGTCCTGTGCTGGAAAGAGATTTTAAAATAAAGGTCTGTTTAATATGTTACAATACTTTACTACAGAGTATGTAGAAGTCTATATTTGATTTAATGCTTGCCAGCCAGTAGCTTAATATAATGGATATTTCATCCATTATATAATGGATATTTTATTTCAAGTAACATAATTGAAGTTAATCTATCCCCATTATATGTTCTAGTAGATCAGGTTTCTTTTCTAAACATATTTCTTCCAATTTAAGAAGATATGGACACACTAGAAAATGATATAAATAGTCTCTGTGTTGGGAATTTGGACCATACTAAGGCATACAGCAGGGACAATGTTAATATATGGAATACATGTTATGTTAATTTTAGTTTAGTGAAGATTTTTTAAATTATTTTCCTCATGCCTCAACTGTTTGGAAGTTATCTTAAAACGGATCTCCTCACGGGTAGAAACGATACTTTATTATCCCATGTCAACTTTACATTGTACAAAATCTGAGAAACCGCACATTAAAAATTGAAGTAACGTGATTATTTTTTATCAAACAAGTGTACTGCCAGTAATAATTTGCAAGGTACGAAATTAAAAGGAAATAGGTGAGATCAAACTTTCCTTCCTCAAGCGTAAAGATAGCTTGAGAGTTTTTTTATTGTACTTTTTAGCATGCAAGAAATGGAAAATTAATATATGAATACTACCGTCATCGTTTCAACTGAGAATATGTCAGTACAAGTACTGTGAGGATATTTTCTTCTTATTTTCCAGTCTGCTTTGAAACATAAGTGGCTGTTAGTAGGGACAAGGAGTTCCGTGACATACAAATAACCTGGAAGTAAAATGTTAGTTTTACGTGCTCTATTTATCCCTGTATTTTCCTAGATCAACTGAAAATTCTTTGTTATACTTCCATTTCTATTCATACAGTATTTTTTTCATTAAAAGCGGATATAGAAAAGCCATTTTATGTTCTGAATGTTCTTAAATCACCCTGTATTTTTAACTCTGCTTGACAGATGCAGCTTGTTACATCTTCATGAGGTTGGAATTCGACTTGACGTGTCAATAGCATTGAAATGTGTCTTAGTAATTGAAAATTATGAACTTAAGGTTTTCACCAGAACTTTAGCTTTGATTATTACCACTAATCCATTGTAAAAATGGGATTTTATGTTAATCAGAACAATTCCTAGGGAAGTCTTTCGGCACCAAAATATTCCCCAGTAATTCCGGCACCAAAGGGGACAAAAAAAAAATACAAGCTGCCCCTTAATTTCTCCATGCTACCTACCTACAGCATTCCCTGCAGCACAGGTGTGAAAGCAGGCGCCCCGTTACTACAAGCACCTGACATGGCAGTGGGAGAGTACGAGGAGGTGGCAGGAGAAGACGGCCATGTCTCCACTTCTCCGGGGCAGCGTACATGCCCGGCACCGCTTGCTGCCTCACCCCGGCCGGCGCAGAGACGCGAGGGGAAATCACCGCTCTGAGGCGTGTGCTTTCCGCTGGGATGCTCCACGGGCAGAGTATAACACCGTATTTGTTCCTCTTTCTGAGCACGTTGTTGTCTGAGGGTCCGATTTTCACTATATCTTGTGAAAGTTGGAGAGAAAAAAAGCATAATCAATAAAAACCACTTGGGATGTCAAGCCTGGGAGTGCTGGAAAAGCCTTGTCTGAGTTTTGTGCTGATGGCAAACATACCCTGGACAGACTTCACGGTTTTGCTCTGAGCACAGGATGCTGCAGAATCTGGGATGTATTTTTTGTGTGTCTGTATTTATGTGTTTGGAACAACAGGATTGTAATTTTCAAAATTAATTTGTCGATTTAGTCACAGATTTTTCTACCTAGCTTTGGATCTAGCCAGTCTGGTGATTTCAGTTAATTCATTGAAAACTGCACAAAGTACATAAAATAATTTCATTAACAGACTGGCTTTGGATGCAGATGGATCAGACAGCAGAACTTTACTTACAGATAACTTTGTTCACCTTGAAATTTTCTATTTAAGTGCAGCTTTTATGTTTTAGATGTCAGAATAATATCAGATCATGCTCTTTGAGAAAAACCTGAGGGAGGGCCAAAGTCATGTAGAGAAGGGAAGCTGGGCATCATTTGTGACACACAGCGATTTGAGAGCAGCCAGGGTATATGGCCTTTCTCACCTATAGAGACTGACCAGTATGGAAGTCTTCAGGAAACATTTTTACAGGTGTACAGACACCAAAGTTGTGGTGTGGTCCAGCTACCAGCCTGGCTAGATATGGAACTCTTAAAACATCCCAAACTAATTGAAGTCAGAGATCTGTATTTAATATGGACTGTGGCTATTTGCGATCAATTTTTCTTCCTACTTTTAGTTATGGTGAAAGTAAAAAATAACTGTTTTTTATCAATATATTTGCCTGCCAGCATGGATGCTCATGAGCCTGAGAACAGTGACTCAGAGAAATAGTATCACAATACAAATGAGTAAAACTGAAATAGAAGTACAGAGAAGGAAAATTAAAGTGTCTCGTGAAAACAATTTTTTAAAGAAAAAGTAGCAAGGGAAATGGGATTCAAAGACAGGAGGGTAGACAAATGGAATTTTCTACAAACATTCAATAAATGGCAAGTGAAACTAAAATGCAGAAAAGTCAACATAACCCAGAAAATCACTCAAGTGTTGCAAAGAGTAAAAATGGCTAGAACAGCCTTCTGAGAGGTAACTGCTATCTATCATCCATCACTGGATTTTTTTATCAAGAGCGTAATAATGATAAACATTTTCATATGCAATCAATCTCCAATTTTGACTTGCTGGATTTTTCTTTAGGTATTACTTCAAACTGCGTAGCTCTGCTGGCTCAATAGCTGAAATTAAGTGTTTAAAGAAAACGTTTGGTTGTCATATTTATGCTGTATTTTCCAAATGACAATACGATTTGTGTCCTCCTGGTATTTAAGGAGACACCCTAAGTTGGTCTGCTAGCTAGGACCACCTTAAGTATAAGCGCTGTAAAAAAGGAGTTTTATACAATTATTTCAAAGGTGTTTTTACATTGTATTTCACCCGAGAACTTAGAAGGCAGTTTCAGCTTTTCGGTTGAACTGCCAGTGAAATGTTCAATTTTATACCTTCTGACTGCAGCCGGTGACAACTGCAGTTGCGTTCAGCACCACGGGGGGAGCGCGGCCCGAGGCTCTTGCGGGCCACCCGCCAGCGGCCAGAAGGCAAGGCGAGACATGCGAAAGGCTCGGATGACAGCCCAAGTTGCTAAATGCATACAACTACATAGCTACCGTCTGTTACACGGATGAAGTGCTTTTCTTGCTGTCAGCCACGTTATTCAGGACGGGGAAAGCGAGCAGGCCACGACGGTGAGAAATGCATTCGCTTCAGAGCAGTTAAGAAAACAGCGAAGTACGTGGGTTTAAAAAAACAAGACCTTCACTTTCCATTTCCTATGATTACTAACTAGCTTCCTTCCACCGTAAGGAATGCTGAACAAGCTCAATTTAAGTATTCCAGTTAGCAAGGATATGACTCATGCAGTCAAGATACAGCCAGAGGCTAGGGCGATTTTACGCTTGGAAAGTCTGGAAGATAAGGACCTGCAGGTTTGGCTCTGGCAGCTTTTCTTTTTAATGTTTCCCTTTCCAGGATTCTCTGTGTTCTGGCTGGTTTTGGGAATTAATGATCCTCAGAAACGTGTCACATCCCCCCAGAGGCTTTTTTGCCTTTGCGGGCATCACACCTCGTTCATAGCGGGTACAAATACGCCAGGGTAGGACACAAAGGTGTTCTCAGCCTTCCCTTGGGCTGTGTGTTGGGGAGCTCTGGCGCCTGTCCATTTGCTGCTTGAACTCCTCACAGACCACCTTGCAGAAAGGGGGAACTCTGGTGTGGTCTCACCTGGTGTTTTTTCCTACGTAAAATTCTTCGCTCGTTCCGCTCACAAGACGGAAGTGTCTAGAGGAGCAGAGGAGACTGCTGTCTGGAGGAACCTCGCCTCTCTGCTCGTGGAGGGTGCAAGACATGCAATGATTGAAGAAGAGGGTTGCGGGGAAAGGAAGTTTGGTTCAGGCAGTGACATAGCAGGAGGAGCGCTGGCCCTGCCCATCAGGATGATGAGGAGAGTTGACAAAACCTGGGTGGTGGCATGACTTTTCTCTCCCGTACACGTACTTCCACAGACATATGTGCACACCCACATCCCTGAGGGTCTTCTCCTCCTGTCAGAGTGTCCTGGCATGTATATGCATGGATAATATGGTGATGAACATCTTTGGAAAACCCATGATGAAGACAGGCTGAGAGAGTTGGGCTGTTCAGCCTGGAGAAGAGAAGGCTCCGGGGAGACCTTATTGCAGCCTGCCAGTACTTAAAGGGGGCTTCTAAGAAAGATGGGGTCAGACTTTCTAGCAGGGCTTGTAGTGATAAGACAAGGGGTGATGGTTTTAAACTAAAAGAGGGCAGATCTTGACTAGGTATAAGGAAGAAATTTTTCACAATGAGGATGGTGAAACACTGGCATGTTGCCCAGAGAGGGGGTAGATGCCCCGTCCCTGGAAACATTCAAGGTCAGGTTGGACGGGGCTCTGAGCAACCTGATCGAGTTGGAGATGTCCCTGCTCATTGCAGGGGGGTTGGACTAGATGGCCTTTAAAGGTCCCTTCCAACCCAAACCATTCTATGATTCCACAATTCTATGACTCTATGATTCTATTGACTGTCTTCATAACAGGCCTGGAAGGTGTGCAGCAATGAGGGCTCAGGGCTGTTATTGAACCAGTACCGAAAAGCTGACCCCTGATCCTGCGGGGCTTCTCTGAGACAAGAGCAGACATTGCGACTGCACGATTGTACCACGGTGCACCTTCAGGAGGGAGGGAAGCAAGGCAGAGTTGGATGGGCAGCCTCAGTCTTACCCTTTCCTCCAGGAAGTCCCTTGGTTTTGCAGTGTTAAACTGGGAGTTACTGAGATGGTCCTTCAGATGCACACCAAAACTGTGCATCTGACATTTTAAATTCAAAGTCGATTATTTTACAAGAATGAAAAAAGTCTACCTTGCTTGGAACTGTGCCAGTCACCTCTAGGTTCTTCAGTACTCCTTACAAGGAATGTCATGCATTACTCATACCCGTATGAATGAAAGATGACAATCATTCACAAATTACTCTTAACCTCGACTCAGGCTTTCTAGACTGCACAGTCCGGTGGTCTAAACTGTGGAAAGCACAAGATTTAGCATCTGAGTCACTTTGCTTTTCTACACGCCACCACCAGTTCCCCCTTCTCAACCTCAGTTCCTCTAATCCCCCCCGACCACAACCCATGCATCTGTACCCCCTACTGAGGAAGCAGCATCACTCTAGAGCGCAGATCCAGTTGACTGGTGATCCCATGACGTGGTCTGATAATCATCGCATGCTTGAGGTGGTTTCCAAACATTACAGCCGTACGATGTTTTGTGACTCAGTGCCGGTACATGGCAGCAAGGGACTCGGCCAACCTGCAGGTGCTGACCCTGAGACATGCTTTCTTTCCCTGACCTGTTTCAGAAAATATAAGAACAGGTGATCTGTGAATTTAGTTATTTGTCTGAATTTTATATTAAATTTTAATACAGAAATTAGGGAAATGAAATGAGGATGTGTGTGCTGATGTAACAAATGTGCGGACAGATGTCAGAATGTGCCTCGGGTGCTCAGAGTGAGTAAAGTGATATGAGAACTGTAAGTGATGGAAAGGAAGTAGTTACAGCGAGGAAGGGGAACTGGTGAGTGAGCTGTGTGCCTTAACTGCTTGTGTTCTTGCTTCTTATGGCTTGCACCAGTTGGGATGTACGTCCTTAGCTCAAAATTAAGAAGCATTTCTTTGGATGTTTCCCAAGGCTTTTCCAATCCTAGTCTACACAAACATTTTATACCGGAACATTTACTTCATCTAAGGTCATA